AATTTGAGGAATGGAGCTGAATGTTTCAACATAATATTTATATATTTATCCATGTTCTTTCTATCAAACATTCATTCATCTGTTCGTTTAGTCGTTCATTCATTCGTTCGTTCGTTCGTTTATTCAATCATTTGTTCATTCATACATATATACATACATACATACATACATACATACATACATACATACATACATACATACATACATACATACATACATACATACACACATATATACATACACTCATACATACATAAATACATATATACATACAAACATACATACATTTATATTGTCAGCGTCATTTAAGTGTGTGTTCATCTCTGCTTATATATATGGATGCTCTGTTTCCAGATGATTTTTTCTCATTCTTCAGTTTAAATTATGTTTTAATATAAATAAAATTATTAATAAAAATTAATAATAAGATTAATAATAATAGTAAATAATTATATTGATAATAAGGTTTTACATTGTACATGCGTTAATGTATACATATAGATATGTAAATATATAATTCTTAATAATTAATTTTGTTATGTTATTAAAATTATGATATAACAATAGCAATAAAAAATAATAAGAAGAATAAGAATAATAATAATAAGAATAATAATAAAAGCAGCAACATGCAAGATACTAATTCAAGTAATCGAGATGACGAAGAAGGCAAAAAACAAGGAACGCGGTATGCCTGTCTGTTTGTTTGTATGTTTATTTGTATGTATGTTTGTTTGTTTGTTTGTATGTATGTTTGTTTGTATGTTAGTTTGTATGTTTGTTTGTATGTATGTATGTCCGTGTATGTTTATATGTACACAGTTATGCGTGTATGTTTGTATGTATTTTATTTTAGAAAAAAACATGTATGCTTGGTTTTGTATATGTATGTTTTATTATGTATGTATGTTTTTATTCGTTTGTATTCTTTGTATGTTGGTATTTCTGGTGTATTTTCCAGTATTTGAACTGATTTTTGTATTTTATTGCAAAACGTTTTTATAACACTGCTAAGGCTCGTTCGTCTCAATTTTCATTTGCAATCTTTGCATTTTTTCTACTCGGTTCTACTAATTTTATTTGTTTTTTTTTGTATTTTTTTGTTGTTTTTTTTGTCGGTTGAGATAAATTATTAGTTTACTAACTTAGTGTTTTTGTTACTTTTCATCTTTGCTGGTGATATTTTTGTATATTTGTATTTGTAATCAATATGTTTGTCGGGTCGAACCTACGATGTGTTTGTTTGCCTGCAATCAATGTATGTTTGTATGTATGTTTGTTTGTATGTATGTATACATGTAGGTATATATATATTTGTATGTAGATGTTTACGCAGTTATGTATGTTTGTTTGTTAGTTTGTAGGTTGGTATGTATGTATGTATGTATATGTGTGTATGTAGGTTTCTATGTATGTTTGTGTATATGTATGTATGTTTGTTTGTTTGCAAACATGTATGTATGTATGTATGTATGTATGTATGTATGTATGTATGTATGTATGTATGTATGTATGTATGTATGTATGTATGTATGTATGTATGTATGTATGTATGTATGTATGTATGTATGTATGTATGTATGTATGTTTGCACTTATAATTGTTTTTTTATTAATCTGTTTATTTATTATTTTCGCAGAGTTTTTAAGAAGAGCAGTCCAAACTCCAAGGTATCTATTCTCTCTCGTACTGTTACCATCATCGTCATCATTATCATTATCATCATTATTACTGTTGTTATTATCATTATATTATTATTATTGTTGTTGTTGTTGTTATTATTATTCTTTTTGTTCTTCCAGCAATTTATTTTTCATTGGACGTTTGATGATCAGACTTCAAAGCTAACAATTTGCCAAACATACAGACAGACAGACAGACACACATACAAAAAAGCATACATACATACATGCATGCAGACTTATACACATACAGACACATACAAACGTACATACAAACATACGTACATACAAACATACGTACATACAAACAAACATACAAACAGCTAACGGTCTACTTGGGCAAAAGGGATTTCATTGACCATCTTAGCCATATTGATCCAATTGGTTAGATGAAATTTTAAATTATTAATTTATTATTTTATATTATAATTAATGAATTTTGTACATTATTGTGTTGGAAGTAATTTATTTTGGAATAAAGTTTTTTATTCTTTTTCTTTCGCTCACTCATTCATTCATCCATTTAATTCACCAACCATAGACCTATAAATTATCACTCATTTATTTTATGCTCATACATTCATTTATTTATTCATTCATTCACCTCTCAAACCATCCATTCATTATTCAAAAAAATGAATTAAACGGACGTTTTAAATTAGACAGAAATGTTTTTGGAACGTGATTAAATTTGAATTTTTGAGAAAAATAGAGCGAGCGAGAGAGAGAGAGAGAAAAAAAAAGAAAGAGAGAAAGAAAAAAGAAAGAGAGTGTGAGAAAATGAGGGAAAGAGAGATATTAATAAAAAAGGAAAGACAATGAATGATGATGAAAAAATTATAGAATTTTTTTATGGAAAGAGGAAATGTTTTTGTTTACCCTGATAGTTTTATTAGTTTTGGGCTTGCACGTTTCAAGGTAGACAAACTTTTATTTTTTCTTTTTTCCATCTGTCATGCAATAATAATATTAATAATCATAATATTAATAATAAGACCGTATACTACCAGCCATAGTAACAGTATTAGTAGTAGTAGTAGGTAGTAGTAGTAATAGTAGTATATTATTATTATTATTATTATTTGAAAATTTGTATAGCGCTAATTACAAACAAAATGTTTCTCAAAAGCACTGTCTAAAAAAAAAACATTTGAATTGCTACGATAAACCAAATTTTAAAATCTTATAATGAAAACAAAAATGATTTCAATAATTTCTTGAACAATTTTTCTGTCAGTTCGGGCTGTCTTAGATGACTTGGTAGACTATTCCAAACGGCTGGTCCACATACTGAAAAACTTCTATTAGCCATTTTCAAGTTGGTTTGGGGCACACATAGCAAGTTGCTATCATCAGACCTTAAGCAGACATTTTTAAAAGACAGTTGTTTCGGTGCATGCATTTCTTTCAAATAAACTGGCGCCATTGCCTTTTTACATTTGAACATGATTGTTGATATTTTGAACAAAATTCTTTTTTTGACCATCAACCAGTGCAGTTCTTTGAATATCGGGGTGACATGGTCAAACTTTTTCGCACCAACCACGATCTTAGCTGTCCGATTCTGAATTGACTGAGGCACAGATAACGATTTTTCAGGCAAACCATAAAATAGGCTGTTGCAGTAATCCTGTCTAGAATGAATAAACGAATGCACTAAACTTTGAATAACATCTTTGGTTAAGCTTTTGCGGATTATTTTTAATTTTCGCAGTTGTAGGGTTGCAGTACCAGATAAAAACTTGATATGTTCAGTCATTGCCAGTCTAGAATCAAAAATGACACCCAAGTTTGTAGCTTTGGGAATGAAGTTTATATTTGAGCCCTCAATGATAACTGAATTAATTTTAATTCTAGACAGCTGTTGCCAAGTTCCAACCAGAAGAATTTGCGTCTTACTTTGATTGAGCTTAAGACCATTATTTGCCATCCATTTCTCGATCTCGACCAAACATTTAACAAAACGATTAACTGCAAGATGAAAGTTGCTATAGGATTCTGTGGCGAGTAGCTGAATATCATCTGCAAATGCATGACACTCCAAACCATGTAATCCGATCGCCTCAATCATTTCAGAGGGGTAAAGAATAAACAAGATCGGTCCGAGAACCGAGCCCTGTGGAAGACCAAATCTTATGGTTTGAACCGAAGAGGTCTTATTCTTGTAGATTACCTGTTGAGTTCTGTTTGTTAAGTACGACCGAAACCATTGTTCGACAGAGCCAGTTATTCCAAATCTATGATTAAGACGTTTCAGAAGAATGCAATGGTCAACACAGTCAAATGCCGAACTCATATCTAAGAATCCAAGAAGAGATGGTTTACTATTGTTTATATTTTCATGCAACTTAGATAACACATGCAACACAGCAGTTTCAGTAAAATGATGTCTTCTATAGCCTGACTGATATACCGGTAACAAATTGTTTTTATCTAAGTGTTTCATAAGCTCCTTAGAAACTAATCTTTCAATTAATTTTGACAAGAACGACAGATTTGAAACCGGTCTATAATTATTAAGATCAGAATTGTCTAATTTTTCCTTTTTCAAACGAGCAGAAATTGTAGCATGCTTTAACATAGCGGAAACTCACCAGTACGTAAACATAAGTTTATAAGATCAGTCAAATATTTTGAAAACAATCCTACATATTTTTTGAAAAAGTGTGAAGGAACACAATCCAGTGAACATGTTTTAGATGGAGAGTTCAAAACTGCTTCAACAATTTCGCTTTCGTCATAAACAGGAAAAACTGAAAACAAGTTGCTGCAGCAGACACCAGATGAATGATTAAACTTCTCATCATACACCATCGATTCTCGTACATTTTTAATTTTGTCATAGAAGAATGTAGCAAAATCGTTCGCTTCAAAATTGGTAGATGAATTTGAAGTTTTTTCTTTGCACAACAGTTTATTTACCACAGTTCAAATTTTTTTAGGATTTTTGTTATTTTCAAAAATGATTTTTTTCCAAAACAAATTTTTTTTCTGGGCGAATAAAATATTTTTTGATCGCAGAACATTTTTCCACACTTCCCAATCGTCATGATTTAAAGTCTTTCTGTACTTTCTTTCCATTTTCTACAGTATGCTTTGGACAATCTCCATCAAACCACGGCGTCAACGAATCATCTCGACTTTCAACCACGTGTTCTGGAGCTATTATGTCCGCAATTCTCTTCAGTTCATTCACAAAAATCTCTACCAGCGTTTCTATATTATCATCTTGGCATGGCCCTCCAATCGGGGATTTCGAAATCAACAATGCGTCTTCATTTATGCGTCGCCAGGATCGAACCATTTTTTTACTTCTCGTACCTATAACTTGATTGATTGACAAACAAACCTGGATTAATCCATGATCTGATAACACTCCACTGGGAAAAATCAAACTGTTAAAGATAGGAAAAGAGCGAGAAGTAACGATCAAGTCCAAAACACCACCTAATTCATGCGTTGGTTCGTTAATCCTGTTAACCAACTGAAAACAATCGAAAACCTCATTCAGTGAGACTGTGTTTGGATCATCTTTTTTCTCCATATGAACATTAAAATCTCCCGCAACAACGATTTTATCACTTAACAGAGATAAAACTTCTAAAACATTAGCTAGCTCTGAAAAGAACGATGGTGAAGGAGGAACCGATCCAGGTCTATAAATTGATAACAAAATAAAATCAGATTTGTTTACTCTCAATTTAATTGCAACAGCTTCAAAAGTTATCACGGCGGGTAACTCAACAGGTTTATAAATGAACTCTTTGAACTCTTTCTTGAAATAAATTATAATTCCGCCATGATATGGATCGTGAGGTCTGACGTAATCTACAAACTTATAACCAGGGGGCATCGCGCATCGAACAGCAAACTCATCTGACGACCCATGCCATGTTTCAGTTAATACAAGAATATCCAATTCTCCACGAATTATATCACACACCATTTCATATTTTGACATTATAGATCTTATGTTGAGGAGCCCCAGGCCAATTTTTAAATCATTGTAATTTTTCATGGTTAATTTTTGAGCTGTAGCATGAATCATCCTCCGACTGGCCCTCCAGTCAACAACACCCTCATCAGTTAATTTCTGAACTTCACAATCCGCCATCTTCCCACAGGACCTCTGACTCTGTATAAAAAATTGTCTTTGCATGCCGCTTCTTTCAATTTTGCATCAGCTACCAGTTTCTTTAATTCACTTCTCTGCTCAGGTGTCAGATCATTGCTAATCCAGACTTTACTCAGTTCGACCGACATTAATTTCAATTTGTGTGCATTTTCCATCACTGTCTCTTTAGACATCAAACTATCCAACACTATCAATATTGGACGTGTGGATGATTCATTTTTCTTTCCAAGTCTTGTAACATATTTTATATGTGAATCTTTTATATCATCAGACAATTTTAACAAAATATTTTTAACACGAATTTCATCATCTTCACCTTCTTGTAAATTGAAAATTTTTATATTTCTTTCTCTGTCTTTTATATCAATTGACTCAGTTAATTTTCTTTTAACCGTTTTAACTTCCAGATTAACACACTCAATGTTTTTCTTCACTTCTTGGCCAACAACAGTAGCAAAAGAAGATTTCAAATCACTTTTGAATGTGCTGATCTCGGCAGATAACTTGCTATCAGGCCTATCAAGGCTATCTAATTTTGCACTGTTACTGTTCAACATCTCTTTTATCAATTTAAGTTCATTTTTTAGCAAACCGATCATTTCGTTAATTTTTTCGACTTTTAAATTGATTTCATCATTGTTGTCAATGACTATTTTAAAGAGAGTTTCAGCGTTGCAGAACTTCTTCAGACAAATATCACAAAATCATTTAAAACTATCGAAACCACGTGTCACTTCAAAAGCTTCATCACTCAAACCAACACATTTTATGTGAAAACTATTTTCGCACTGAAAACATTGAATGCATTGCAAATTTTCTTTTCCTGATTTCACACATTTTGTTTTCGTACATTTTGAAGCCACATTAATTTGATTGTTGTGTTGTTCGTTGTCCGGGTGAGTTCCGAAACGAAAAAAACAGCAAAAACAGCACTAAATTAAACTTTTAAACGGAGAAAAAATATATATAAATATTCGTCAAAATTTTCTCTATCAAATGAAATTAAATTTAAACTAAATACTCGATTTTAAACTATGAAATTAAGAAAAAATACGGAGCAAATCATAATGTGGCCTGTACGTGCTACCGATCATATAAATAACTATAGTAGTAAGTATAAGTATAGTAGTAGTAGTAGTAGTAGTAGTAGTAGTAGTAGTAGTAATAGTAGTAAAAGTAGTAGTAATAGTAGTAGTTGTAGTAGTAGTAGTCGTAGTGGTAGTAGTGGTGGTAGTAGTAGTAGCAGCAAAATATTGATGGTGGTGATAGTGATATTGTCAATATACAGCCAATAATATAACATTTTGAAAACCTGAAATTAAATTACGCGACTCTTGTAGTAGTAGTAGCAGCAGCAGCAGCAGATGTAGTAGTAGTAATAGTAGTTGTAGTGGTAGTAGCAGTAGTGGTGGTAATAGCTGGCTGCTTAACATTTTTGGAAAGTAAAGTTCAATTATAAAGCTTTTTGTAGAAGTAATAAATATAGATTTTTTTTAATTAATTGGTTTTTTATTTATTTTTTCATTATAATTATTATCATCGTCATCATCATTATTATTAGTTTTGTGTGCCTGCGTGTGTGTGTGTGTGCGTGCGCGCCTGCGTGTGTGTGTGTGTGTGTGGTGTGTGTGTGTGTTGTTTGCCTAAATATTTTTCAATCTGAACAACATAATTATCATTTCAAAATTTAAACAGATCATTATTATTTTTATTCTTCTTCATATTCTTCTTCTTCTTCTTTTTATTAATATCATTATTGTTATCCTTATTGTGTGTTGCGTGTGCGTGTGCTAGCATCCGTGTTTTGGTTCGGCTTCAGTTGAGTTCTTAGGTACAACTGTAACTCGCCAAATCACCATCCCAGTTCATTTATCAGTCACGTCAATTAAAAATTATTACCTTCACCCTTTTTGTTGCTGTTATTATTACTGTCTTTATAATAATAATAATAATTAATAATAATAATAAAATAATAATAATAATAATAACAATAATAATAATTATAATTATAATAATAATAATAATAATGGGAGCACTTCTTTTATTCAATCAAATATCATAAAACATACAGAATAATAAATATTCAATATATATATATATATACAAATAAAAAGTCCAGAATAAATACTAATAAAAAATAATTAAGTATACGATAAAATAATAATAATAATAATAATAACTATTATTAATATTATTACACCCCACCCCTCACAAAACAACCAACCAATCACAGACGGGGTAGTTCTCGTTGACCCGGATTACCTCAACGGTCGAAAAGTTTTCGTGCATGTTCTTGCGGCGTTTCGCTACGGTCGCGAGGATCTCGACGTTCTCGGCCTCACGTTTCGCAAGGATCTATTCCTGGCCACCCAGCAAGTTTATCCGCCAGAGCGAGGCGGAGAATCCGGCGGCGAATCGCCCTCGTCGCGACCGCCAACGCGTCTGCAGGAAAGGCTACTGAAAAAGCTGGGACCGAATGCGTATCCGTTTTATTTTGAGGTTGTTCTCGTCGTTGTTGTTGATGTTGTTGTTGGTGTTGTTGTTGTTGATGATGTTGTTGTTGTTTTTGTTTTTGTTGTTGTTGACGTTGTTGTTGTTGTTGTGATGATGTTGTTGATGATGTTGTCGATATTGTTGTTGTTGTTGTTATAGTTGTCGTTGTTGATGTGAATACTATTGTTGTAGTTGTATTTGTAATTATTCACTGTTGTCAGAAGAAAAATAATAATTATTGTACTACTGGCAGCTATAATTATAGTGATGATAAATAAAAATTAATTAAGCAAATTAATTTTTC